GTGTGTGTGTGTGTGTGTGTGTGTGTGTGTGTGTGTGTGTGTGTGTGTGTGTACACATGCACATACCAGTATATAAAAGCAACATATACGCGAACAGTATTTGTCTTTCGTCTTTAACATCATGCCTGAAAAGAAGTCTTTGCAGAATGTATTCCTCCATAATAGAACTATTAAGAGTTCTGTTCATTTCAGTGGCAGGTCAGGTTTGAATTGGTGAGGTTATGCATAAATAATCAGTTCAATTAGGAGAAACAACAGATTCTTTGTCAGCCAGCTGATTTCCCTGTCCCCCCCCCAAACATGAATGTGATATAGCAGCAGGTTGGTAAATATAAAGTTCTTTATGTTTGTAAAATAAGTTCTTTATGTTGGTGGTTCCTTCCCCCATTTCCAGAACTTATTTTGCATGTAAATTCTAATTTTACTTTCAAATCAACATTTCCAGTTTAATGTGTATGTTAAGATGAAGACTGACCAGTCAGCTTTTTCCATGCAAGAGTTTGCTTATCCATGCAAAACACTAGGCCCAACCATTTCTGTTATAGAAAAAGAATAATGAACTTAAGATCCTAAGGCAAACAGTTGAAGTGAGTTCATTTTCTGCAGCTGCACAATTACTAAAATCCACAATAGACCAGTCTGATAATGAGTTACACCCTTTCCCTATGTGAGAGGGTTCTCAATTCATGGCCTTGTTTTGTTGATTTTTTTCCATGGAATCGCTAAGCAAATTCTTGGATCTTGATCATACTGGTATAAGTTGTCTGCGACACAGAGAAATCCTGAGTGTTTAAAAGAAGTTCTAACACGCCCTTTGGATTTTGAAAAAATCCAGACATTAGGTAGCAGCAATAAAGCAGAAAAGTCTCCTGTTCCTCAACTCGGCTGAAGTCAGTGATGGCTAACATGAGAGAGAAACATTTTAAATGATGGAGAATCTAAACGTTTTGGCAAACTAGCCAGAAATGGAGGAAAAGATCCAAATAACTAAATATTTTAATGAAATAAGCGCATACTTTTTAATCATTTGAAGATGGTGCTGATTCTTTTTGATCCTGCTTATGTTCATAGGCTGTGGCTTCTGTTGAAATCTATAGGAATTTTGTGTGGAATGGCAAGTCTGCATCCAAAACCGCCACCTATAACTTGGTTGTGTTGTGTGACAAAGGTTCCATAGTATTTGGTGACAGTATGTAAGCTTTGCTTCTATTCCCAAAGAGTCCTTTCTCCAAAGGGGTAATTTGTGCAATGCTGCATTTGGCTTAATTGGAAGATTTAGTCTTATACACATTTGTCAAAAGCATTGAAATTTGTTTGTAGGATTTGGTGGATTGCGTTTCATGACAACGTACACACATCTAAAGTATATCGTAATCTAAACTTTCCCTGTAGACATTGATGAGTGTGAAGACAATCCTAACATTTGCGATGGAGGCCAGTGTACAAACATACCAGGAGAATACAGGTGTCTTTGTTATGATGGATTCATGGCATCTGAAGATATGAAGACGTGTGTCGGCAAGTGAAAATATCTCTGTTCCTTACTCTTCCTTATAACCAGTCTGGTCTGCCTTAGTAGAATAAATCTGATAATAGATTAATCAATTTATTTAAAATATGCAAACAAACAGGCGTATTAATGATTATCCTAGCAAGACAGGCAGATGATCAGGTGTTTTGAAATTGCACCCGTAGACTATGAAAATATTTGCTGAATTATGTGCATTTGAAAAAAAAAAAAGAGCTGAAAGGAAAATTTAAGTTCCAACACTATGCCAACTTGACTTCTTCCTCAGAGCAGACAAAATGGTGACATTTTAAGAGCAGCATTTTGTTACGATTCATTTGACTCACTAAGGCCACATACACACCTTAACTATTCAAATTATCTTGGTCAAGAGCAGAAAGAACCTGTGGGTCGTGAGCTCTTTGGCTGAATTAGGGTGCAAGTATTGTGAGATGCCAAAAATGCCTTGCTCTTTGGAGCTCCTTCCAGAATGCTTCCATGTAGCTGATATCAGGATGGCTGTGTAGGCCAGATTTGCTAGAGAGCCAGAACTAGACTGGGAAAAATTCTTACCGTCTTAGTCATAGCACTGGCCAAAACTTGCCCCCAGGACAAAATTATGAGAGAAGTTCAATACTTTGTTGAGATCCAAGAATATAATTTTGTTTTTAAAGTTTTAAACTGAAACACATTTACTATGACATTACAAAATATATTTGGAAAAAAAATATATTGAGAAAAGTCAGTAGGTCAAATTCATCATTGAATTTGATCCTTTGAATTTATTTAGGAAAGTTGGAAGTAAACTGAACGTAAGAGAAGGTAGGAAATATTTAAAAACACACTGATGTGGCAGTGTTAAATCTGATTTGGCTATCTGTCCTTACATTGGCAAAGAATATTTAATCTAATTAATTTTCTCTATGCATACAGATATATTTTTTTGTACCAGTGTTCATATCTCAGTGACTTTGTTAGTTGCCTTCTAAGAACTTTGTGATATAAATCTTAAAATCATGTTTTTCAGATGTTAATGAGTGTGGTCTGTATCCAGACATCTGTCTGAGTGGAACCTGTGAGAATACAAAGGGCTCGTTTATCTGTCATTGTGATATGGGATATTCAGGCAAAAAAGGAACAACTGGGTGCACAGGTACATTTTTAAAGTCAACAATTAACAACTGTATAATTTGAGATTCTCTGTGTCCCTTTTCTAGCTTGCAGACTCTCTTTTGGCACTGTATGACTGCAGTTACTGCTATGAAATGTTAAGTTTCTCGGATGTACTTGCTGAGTTGGAGTTATGTTAAGTTTGTTTGGCATAATATAGAGCCTGCTCCTGCTCCTATTGAAGTGAGTGACAAAATTCTATTCAGAGCAAAATTGGGCCCATTATTGTATGCCTGCTGGTAGGACAGAACAGAACCTGCAATTCAGCGTAACATGATGAGACCACCAAAGACCACATAAAGACGACCACACTGGATTTGGATTAGGAAACTGTATACTGTGTATGCAAATAACAGGCATCCTATCCAAATGTTACTTTGGCAAACACGAGTGGCTTGAAATATATGCTAAAATACATTTTCAGTTTTTTGAGAAGTGGCAGCAGTACAGATACATGACTAACTGAATTATATCAAAATATTTCTGCTAAACCAAAATACGCATTATTTCATATCTGGAGGCAGCCAACAGTGCTGAGGTTCAAGCGTGCAGGCTGAGAGGGCACTAACATTAATAATACCAGTGCTAGCATCTTGAGCCAGGGTGCTGAGATTCATAGGCTTTGCCTAAAATATGAACATAAACATACATTTAATTTAATTTTCAATACAGATCTAGCATAAACACAGTTCTGGCAATCTTTGGAAGGCAAAGCATGCATTCTGAAGTCTGCCCTTGTAGAAGTATATTATTAATGTACAATATGGGTCCAAAATACATGATGCTGAATTTTCATATGGCTCATATGGACAGATCAATATGGGAGCTGGTGTTCTACTTTGTATGTTGGACTATGCATGAACAGTTTTGCATTAGCAACAGCTGCCTTTTGCTTACATGTGAACTGATCTAAATCCAAGAAACACTTAATTTTACCAATGTTTCAGCATTCTTTTTCTTTACTCTAAATTGTATGAAAAGACACAAAGCTTGCAGTTCTACAGAAGTACAACACCCCTGTGCTGCTCAATTACTCATGGCACAGCTATCACTCTCAGGGTAATAAGTGGTGATGAGACACATTTTGTCCTGTGACATCCCCAGGGCTATGCTAGTAGATTAAACGGTAAGGAAGTATTATGTAATTGGTAGGAGGTGGAAGGGCAAAGCAAGGCCCTGCCGGGAAGGGCTCTGAAGTGTTATTCCCAGGGACAGTTTCTGGAAATGCCAGCTAGCCCGGTGACGTCTGGTGTAGTTCAAAGTAAAACAAAACAAACAAGAAAACCAGACTTGAGAACATATCCCTTGCAGCCTTGGTTTAGTAATAGGAGAATGGAGGCAAGGAAATCTCTCATTTCAGATCCCTCCAGAATCAAGCATGAATATCTGGACAGATGCAAACTGTCGCATCTGCTACTCTCTGTGGCGTAATAGTCCCTCAGCCTTTCCCTCCTATAATTACTTGCGAAGTACTTGCCTCTCAAGCAGCCCTCCCACATTCATTGGTTTTCCTGGTCACATTCAGATGCTCACAGGACATGAGTCCCTCGAGTGTCCTGTGTGGCTCATTTAACCACAATGGCATATACCTGCTTCCAGGCAGAGAGGCTTGCTAGACTGAAGAGCAGCCAGAAGCCTGTGTGGAGAGGAAAGGTGACGGATTATGGCATAACAAGAACGCTGCTTTATTTGGGTGAGATAAGTGGGAGTGAGAGAGTCTGAAGAGCTACTCTGCTGGCTTTGAAGAGCTATGCTGCTGGCTTTGCAGGGTACTGGGAAAGGGGAGGAAGAATGCCAACCCAGAAGGAGCTACTATGTGCTTAGACTCCCATGAGCAAAGCAGGGAAAAGCAGTTCCTGTGAACCACCAGAAGGGGTACTACTAGGTAAGTACAGTAGAGCCCTATTAGGTTCCTCACTTGCTTGCAGAAGTATCTGAGGGGATACAGAGCCACAGCAAGCAGCTGCACAGCACTACTGAGGAGCTGCAGCTGTTTGCTATGGCTTTTCATTCAAAGTTGCCTCTTCTCTGATCAGCTGTGATCAGAAGACCCCTGATAAACTCCCACTGATCAGGGAAACAGGGCCTTCGAAGGAAAAACCGCAGCAAAGACACAGAGCAGTTTGTTCTGAATTTTGCCACTTGCTGTGAATTAAGCAGGTTCTGAACTCCCCGGATGGGAATGATCTGGGTTCTGTTGCATGTAGTTGAGTAAAGCAGTGCCTCCAGGCAGGAGGAGTTGCTGCAGTCTGTGTAGATTGTGTTCTTTGCGTATAGGAAGGCACGGACTAGATCTACATGGAACTGATCTACAGTGCAGATCTTGGTCAGTTTGTTAGTTCAGTCTGAGTCAGAGCATTGCTTCAGGAATTAGGCTAAGGACAGAACAAAATTAAAGACAAGGACATCTCAAGATACTAGAACAGCATAAACTGCAGGTCAAGTTCATTCTTACTATACTCTGATAGTTACATGCTTTTTCAGATACACTTGGTCAATATGCTACTGCAGGGAGCAGCTAATGGTCAGCAAATGAAAGCCTTAGGCAAGTGAATGCAAGGGCTAGTTTGTAAGGACACCAGGTATAAAAAGAGAGATAGAAATGAACACTTTCCAAACCAGAGGCTTTCAAAGAGGAGTTCCTCATCGCAGGGCAAAGTGAGAAATGGACTCCCCACTGGTGTCAAAACATGCACATTTCCACGCGTGAAAATTACAAACATGGTTTGTATGTAGGCCATGAATTCCCAATATTGTTGCTGTTTTTTAACAATCCTGATGTCGCAGCTGACCTTCTTATGCCCAAGTAGGTGAGTCCCGTGAGAGCAGTATTTAGTGTTTCTGTCATAGAGGGATTCTGTATATATTCAGACCAGCAACATGACAAGAGTGCTGAATTATTTCCTTGTCAAACTATTCAAAAGCACCCTTGGTTTTTAATAACAACTATTCCTGTGGAAAAAAAATTACAAAAATGTGTATGAAGCTTCAGATGGGAGGTTTTCTGCTTCATGAGAACAACTAAATAATATCCTCTGGGTTCCATTACAGTTTTGTCTAAATATTTCAGCTCCCTTGTCATTACTTATTGTTTCCATTTTAACAAATAAACATGTTTTTTCCCCAATCATTTAGCAGTATTCAGAATCCACCCACTGCCTTACATTCCCATCCCACACAGATGTTATTTCCCCCCCACCTTCAGTTCTCAGCAAGAATGTGGACAGCTTAGCTTAAAAAAAAGTTTTATGCAAAGATATATGTTGCTTCTGAAACCACTTTGTGCAGAGAACTACAAATATTTTTATTTTCAAAACAGGATTCCCCATGACTGGTTTAAGTCAGCTAATTTTAATTCTCATTTTAATTTTTAGTTCTCTGGACTTAGTGCAGAAAACCAGCTTATCTGCAGCTGCTCTGATTTTTGTAAAACACTCTTCCATGCTGAAATCATCTGAGCCAAATTTGTACCTGAAATTATACTACATGTAACTTGGTGGCAGAAACAGGCCCCTATCAATGTGACCAGGTTCTAGGGGCAAATTCTAGGACACCATCCCAGATATTCCACAGACTGACAAAAGTGGAAATAATTTAAACAACTTTTGGTTCTGGTTGGTGTGGCCACCACAGGAGGGTTGTTTAGCTGTGTTGAGAAGCAATTAACTCCAGTGCTGCACACATTGGATTTGCTCCTGCCCTCCTCAGACTAATTAGTATAGCCATGTTCATGCAGTGCTGCACCAGCTCAAATCAGCTTGGATGACAGGCAGAACTAAGTAGCCTGGCACAACACAGGTAATTGTGACTATGTTGCTTGTAGGAGCAGTATAGCCATATTTACACGCAATACCAAGGACCATTACCTTGCATCCTCTGAGCAAATGCAGCAAGATGCACTGCAGAAATGTCCAGAGGGTTCAGCCAACTCAGGACCAATTGAAAAAATTCCATTTTAACAATCTTGTTGAAGGAGTGGGGCATGACCCTGGAATTCAGGTGTGGCCCAGAAAATTCAGGACAGTTGCTTGATTCCATCCTGTCCCTGCTGACCATGTGTAGATCCTACTGATTTGAGTAGAAGTTTCATGCGTGGAAACATGCTGAGACACACACAGCCGTGTCAGGGTAAATTAGGTCATAGGCAACACTCATAAACTGACAATCAGTTATAACAATGCAAGCACAAGTTTGTGCCAATAGGGACTTTAACTGAGCCTGAAGATGCAGGATTTATATCTCTACACCATGTTTCATGAGCAGAAACAGAAGGGGCAGGAAATTCTGAAACACGATGGGCAACCTAGAATTGAAGAAGGGGCTTTGCCTGCTTCTAGACATGATCTTGTGTCTAGTGACTACCTCTCAGATGGAGAATGTGGGTCTTGTCCAGTATTCCTGAATTAGCCAGTATTCCCACTGAAGCCATTCAGAGTATTGACTGACTAAGGAGGATGCAGTACAAGGGCCTCTTGTTTTTTTATGTAATCTGGAAATTAATAAGAATGAAAATAGTATTCTCCATGTGTCCAGGTATTGTTAGTAATTATGGATGAAGGAGCAGTCAATACCAATTGTTAATTAGCTTCACACTTGAAAACAAATATTTTGACAAAGAGGACCCAAAAAGAAGGCCCTGATGCTCTCACTCAGCATCACTCCCATTGACTTTGAGAAGCCCTAGCATTGTAGCTTGTAAAAAGTTCTGCATTCTGAAACCTGTCCCTGCACCTGTCCTCTGTTCAATAATAGTATGCCATGCCTTGGTCTGTTGGCACAAGAGAACTCTGGTGTCAGTGGAACAAATGCATTTCCTCTTTATGGGCATTTTTACATGACACAGGGGTTTAATTTTCCCTAAATTGAAGCAGTGGTTTTTTAAAAACACAGCTTCAATTTAGGGTGAAGTAAACCCCTGTGTCATGTACACCAGTGTCGGAGCCCAATCCTTACCTGCCTCTCCAGTGGTGGGGCGGGGAGAGT